GAGTTTGAGATCTCTGTTTTCTTAAAGCTAATTCACTTACCATAGGCAAAAATCATGTTCTCGTTTGGTAGGAAGTCTTGCCTTGGTTTGTGAAGGTTAAAGTCAGCTCCATAGTAGTAGAATTTTAGAGTTCTCACGATAAGCCTCACTCCTGGGAATAAATGACCCTACTGGGAGGCTGATGAGATGCCCTTTTTCTGTTAATTTTGGACATGTTAGGTTTAAGCCTCCTCATAGACATGCAATGGGAAATATCAAGTAGCCAGTTAGACATATGAATCTAAAATTCAGTATGTAGGGTTATATCAAGTTTGGGACTAAAGCTAAATACTTGAGATTCATCAGCATATAAGTCATATCTAAAGCCATGGAATTAAATAATAGAACCTACATAGTAAACATAGTTAGAAAGAAAAAACGGCCTTGAACTCCAAAATTTAAAGATTGGGAAGAGGAAGAGTCAGCAAATCAGTTTGAAAAGGAGCCTGTGAGGCAGAAGAAAAAATAGGGGACTGTCATGTACCAGAATCTCTTCTCAGAAACTCTCTTCAGACACTTAAAATATCAATATATAAGTATGATTGCCAGGTGGCAATAATGTTTCCAAAAGGGAGTGATTCAACCGTCAAAATGAGAAGGCTAGAAAGTTGACAGCTGAGAAGATACCATTGGATTTGACTGCATATAAATCCTTGGTGATATCAATAAGACAAATTTCACTGAAAGGGCGAACACAAAGACCTAATAAGAGTGAACACAGTAGAGAATGTGCTGAAGAGGTAGTGCAGAGGGTATGAACATGTATGTCTAGGAGTTTTGCTAAAAAGGATACCAGAGAGATGGAATAGTAGAATAGGTACATGGGGAGAACAGATTTTTGTTTAAGACAGGAGATATTATGATGATATGGGAGACATTTCTGATGAAAAGAGAGATGAAATACGTATGGTGCCACGTCTTGGAAGAGCTGAGAAAAAATAGCACACTGTACACAAGCAGAGGTTTAACTTTCATAAAATAGGAACGTTTCATCTATTTGTCAAGACCGTGACCAGATTATGTGAATACAGAAGCAGATAGTTGAGTGGCTTGATGGGAAAAAGATGCAATGATTCGTCTTTGACCGATTCTACTTTTTTAGGGATAGCGGTGAAGTTATGAAGTAAGAGTGAGGTGGAGAGACCTGTTGGGATTTTGAGGAGAGAGGAAAAGATATAAAATACTGTTTAAGAGAGAAAGTCAACAGAATTACCAGGCAAGGCTAAAGGACCCCCTCTCCTGTTTTCCCCATGAAGTCAGCTAAGTCGAGTGTTTCTGTTATCACAGTCAGCTTCTCGGATGCAGACCAGGGCAAGTGGAAGGTTGGGTTCAACCACAGTTAGTGTTTCAAGATGAGTCTGACGAAGAAAAGGATGAGGGAGCAGCGGTTCTGTATAATGAGGAATTATAACAATGAACCATGGATTCCAAGCCGGGGAAGGAAGAAGTGAAGGAACTGAGGGGGTTTATGGACTGTGAAGAGTGATGGGCTCGGTGGGTTGGAGGTTCACCAACTCCAAATTATGGAGCAAGAATATTAGAGTAAGAAAACTGAAAAAAATAAAACGTGGTGGCAGATAGGGCAAAGATCGGGACCCCCGGAAGTTGCTTTTGAATCTGGTACAGTTTTTGGAAATGACCAAAGCACTTAGGAGAAGAAGTTCATTTGAAATGATATCAGGATACTGGCAAATCATCCCATAACGCAAAAAAAAAAAAAACAACTTTTTTTTTAGGTTTAAATGGCTGTGATGGTTTGAGATTCTACATCAGTTTAAAGTTGCTTAGGAAAAAAAGTCTTGGGAAATATAGCTTAAGAAACAAAATTGGCTCTGTACTCTTTATTCACTAAAGAGTTGGGGATGTTTTAGAATGTACTGTAAATCTTATGGAAACCGTGCACTCAGGTGTATGCGTGCGAAACTCCAGGTGAAGGGCTTTGTCTTCAGCATGAGGGATTTTCACGGTTTTTCTCAAGAGTGTGTAGCAATGGACAGAACAACGTAATGGTTATTGGGCTCTCGGGGAAGAAGAGAAGGATGGAGCGCAGATGCAGAGAGAAAGGAATGTGAAGTTAGAGGAGAGGGTTGTCTTAAGACAAGTCTCGCCCACGGCTTCAACGGGTCTGCCAGCACCACTGAGGATTCTCCTCGGAAGGTGAATCCTGCTCACTCAGTGTTAAACATAAAAGCATCTGGACCTATAGCTAAGCAACAGCTTAACAGAGTATCACGTGACACCGGAAGCAAGGAAGACACACTGCACAGTCAGAAATTGACCTTTACCTGAATCACAAGTGAGAATTATGTAGAAGGCTGGCGAGGTCATTTAATGGGCGTTCATTTATCTTACGTGAGAAGAGATGCACGGGCAGATGAAGATTCATCTAAACACACTTTTTCCTCATTTTACAGATTTCTCCTGACTCCGTGGATTATGTAGGATCTTCAGAGCATTATATTTTATATCTGGCACTGCTAATAGTAAGAAGACATTTCCATTTAAATGTTCGTGCTTAAGGGGACACATTTGTATGCTTTGCATTAAATTAAAAATTTAATTTTGGCGCTTAAAACTTTGGCACTGTAGGCATCTGAGAACACACACATACACACACACACACACACACACAATTTTAATTTTGGCGCTTAAAAATTCAGCACTGTAGGCATCTGAAAACACACACACACACACACACACATGCCAACAGAGGCTTTAAACTCTGGACCACTATCTTTACAATGATCATCTGACACTGAGTGTGAAGCCTACACCGTCAATGGTGTGAATAATGCTAGAATCAACATACTGCTATTATTTCTGTCATGGTTTCTCCGAAAAGCAGTGACATTCACTCTGAGAGTTTCATAGAGGATTGAATACATTGTCTTTGTCTTTCGATCTTGTAAAAATGATATCAAATCTATCTTTATATGTGATCAAACTCCTTAAAACAGTTGCAACATGAAAACTGTTTTCATGGTCATGCTAATGTTGATTGTCTTTTTCTCTCCCTAGCCTTACCTTCAATTTTTCGTTTTCGTTTTTGTGCTACGATGTCTGGAAACAAACTTCAGGAAGAAATCAATGAGAAAGGATCCTGTGTTCAGGTTGAGAGAACTCAAATAGAATTTGACATTTTATTTCGATATTCATTGTTTAAAGACATTTTAATATACTTACATTAATTGAGCAAATAGTACTGTACAGGATTGCTTTTTAAGGGGCTGTATAGGATACAAAATTATAATTCTTGGTACTTTAATAATATTGCAATCTAGTGAGAGAAACCACATTAGCACACATAAGACACTGAAAAATTAAGGCAGGCCATGTCACTGACATAGGAGAAGAAAGTTATCTACAAAGAAGTAGTATCTTAAAAATAATGGGTAAGTATAGAGAAGCAATTCGATAAGCATAGCCCATTTAGAAAGGAACAGTAGTCTGAGGAAAATGACAAAAGTTGGAATAAATGCTACCTTCCTATAGGTTCAAGAAGGCAGCTGGAAGGAACTTGAACGCTAATGTTGGAGGCTAAGGGAAAATTAACATGAAACTAGATATTGGAGGGTCTTGGAATAGGGAACCATAGGGAGGATCTTGCAAATTACACAATAGGAAACAGACAGGTGTGTTTTGAAAACCTTGCCTAACTCAGAAAACTCGAATCAAGCTCAAGTCTGGGCTTATAGCTAAGCACAGGTTAACAGGTCACCAAGTGACCCTGGAAGCAAGGAAGTGACGGAACAAGGGAGCGATGAGGTGACAGCCATGTTTTAGGAAATCAGCAGTTTAGGATGGCATGAGGAATCAGGAGTAGTCAGTGGGGCAGGGGGATGATGAAGGAAAGAATTAGATTGGTAGCAGTCAGGAGAGCGTGATTCTGACCCATGTTCCCAGGAGTGACAGTGTTCAGGAACTGGTGATAATATCACCTTGGCTTTTCTGGGACACACCTCTGATTCCAAATGTTTTGGTCCATTCTTCTCACAAAGCCTTCAGAATTCCAAAACAACTGTGCCAAAATTACAGTTCCTAGATTCCTTTCTCATGAAAGCCTGCCCTTAAGTTTTTTTTTTTTTTTTTTTTTTTTTTGGCCAGAGCGTGTGTACCATTTTCTTATTTCGAAAAGAAGTCACAACCAACAAGAATGAAACTTAGGCAAAAAGCAAGGTTGATGTGTAAGTGGTGTCCTTTGAATCACTGACGAAAATGGCTGTCTGCCAGGCAGAGAGTGTAGCGCAGAAAAATGGAGGTTATATTATCCTCACGGTTACTCAGTCCATTCAAGTAATCGATAGCAGTATAAAGGTCATTATTTCTGCGACCAGTTTTTCACCTGGAAACCTGGTTGGATTTTAGAATTTCACCAAGCAGCAGTAAAGTCCTCCCAAACCCGGAAGAACCGGAAGCGGAAGATGAAGACGTCCAGATGGAGAGGACGAGAACCGCGAATGCTGTGACCGCCGCAGCCTCTGGCGAGGTAGCACTTCGGAAAACGTTTTCCGTCAAGCACTATGGTCTGTCAGAGAAAGCGGGCGACTTTCTAATCTTAATTTTTGAAAAAAAAAAAAAAAAAACACTTTGAGTTTCTTTCACTCTTATACATACAGCTCATTACTCAGCTTCAGTAAATATGCCATTCCAACAAAGATAAGAGAACACTCACACACACCTACATACACTCGTTAATTTATTTTTCAGAGTCATAGTTTTGGTGAGTAAAGCTAACCATGACAAAACCTGAGAAATGCTGTAGACCTATTGGTTTAATGAATGTCTAAATTCCTATTTTCTATGGAAAGGCAAGCACAAATCATATGATTAGTGCAAATGTTCTTTTGCTGCAGAAATATAGACTGAGAGAGTTCACTTTAAAATGGTAGTTTCTAGGAGAAAAACTGAATTGATTCATGATTTTGTATAGGGGAAGATTTGGTCGGAGGGAGTATGGAGCACTCACTCATTTCAAGGTGGGATTCAAGCCCTGTTGCTATTTATTTCTCTTTCCAGCAACCAGTCATCGTGGCCAGTTGTCTACGGAAGGAATATGCAGGAAAAAAGAAAAACTGCTTTGCCAAGAAAAAGAAAAAAGTGGCCACAAGAAACGTCTCTTTCTGTGTTAAAAAAGGTTGGAAATAGTAGTTCTGTTAAGACCTGAAGCTGAGGTCTTTTGAAGGGAATAATACTATCCAAATCTGCCCCGCCACCCCATTGATAAACACAAAAAGCAGCCAACTCATCAGCTGGCTGTCGCTGATTCATCCTGCTTTAAAGGCTTAGTTAGAAGAAGGTTTCTTCCTTGCCTAGGAAGACAGTTCTATCTGTTCTGTTCAAACAAACAGGAGCCACCAGAAAGGAAGCTGTCTTTAAGTTAAAGGGTGCTACAGCTTTTTAAGTAATAAACCTAATTTCACAACAGGGAATGCTACCCGGAAGGGAATTTGTCGGGGCATCGTGGCTCATGCTTCATTTCTAACAAACAGCACCTTTTGTGAAAGCGTCAGTTAAATGCAATGGGCTTTGGAATCAAAACGTTTCAATTCCAGCTCAGCCCCTTACTGGCTGCACGACCTCTTTATGCCTTGGTTTCCTCGCCTGTTTAATGAAGGCAGTAATAACACTCGGGTTGTGTGTGTGTGTGAGGAATAAGTGAAATAATGTACATAGTGCGCTCGACATACAGTTCGACACAAGCTGAGCCCTCAAATGGCATTTGTTTTTACTGTTCTTGTAATCGTTTGCAGCTGTCGTTCTGAGCATAGCTTTGTCTTTCAGGTGAAGTTTTTGGTCTGTTGGGACACAATGGAGCTGGTAAAAGTACAACAATTCAGATGATAACAGGAGACAAAAAACCAACCTCAGGGCAGGTCAGTAACACAGACAGAAATACGGTTATTTAATTAAAAAAAAAAAAGAAAGAAAGAAATATGATCATTAATGCTGCCTTGATCAAATGTTTTACAATGAATATTGATGACAATCTTAAAAATACATAGATGACCCTTAATCAATGTAATTTATGCATTGAATGAAGAGGATTAATAGAAACTTTTTTCCCTAATTCCAAAAATAGTTATGAGGTGCTGAAAAGGGCTACATGTTATCTATACTATGCCTTTTATCAAATGAAGAAGAGAAACTTTAAAAGGACGTCTTTAAAATTCATACTTACATGCACGTACACACACAATCTTGGACAGAATGTGAGAATGAACTTCTCGTGTAGGTGACTTTGAAGGGGAGCAGCGAGGGGGACGACCTGGGGTTTCTGGGGTACTGTCCTCAAGAGAACGCGCTGTGGCCCAACCTGACGGTGAGGGAACATCTGGAGGTGTTCGCCGCCGTGAAAGGCCTGAGGAAAGCGGACGCCGCTGTCGCCATCACACGGTACACGGGGGGACACACCTGTTCGCTGCCTGAGGGTGCCGGAGACGCTTGGGAGTGACGACCTTCCTGGGAAACTGAGGACCGGACACTCTAAATGCTGACCAGAACACGTTGGGTGGATCGGCCGTTAGAAACTGTTTCCCCTGATTTCAAAGTGTTATTCTTTTTTCTCATACTAAACATGGAAAGAAAAAAGTCACTATTCGTTGGTAAAATTTCTCAATACTAAACTTTAGGTATAAGCTAGCACAGAACAGCTATTTGGAGATCATGACATGTGCTTATATTCTTTTAAAAGGAAAAACTATCTTTTGGGGGGGATCGAACCAAGTCAGTTTTAGGATGGCCTGGCGTCTGTTCTCAGAACCACATTTCTGAGCTCTGCTCCCCATCCTGGCCCCGTGCGGCCCCGTTCTCCCACCGGCTCCCTCCGCTGTCCAGAAGCCTGACCGGACCGACTGATCCTGCAGGTTGGTGGGTGCGCTCCAGCTGCAGGACCAGCAGAAGCGGCCGGTGAAGGCCTTGTCGGAGGGAATAAAGAGAAAGGTAGGGCCGGGGCCCGGGCTTCCTCCGCGCCCCCCGCGGGTCGGTGCCAGACGCGCTGTTCCTCTGGTTGCAGCTGTGCTTCGCGCTGAGCATCCTGGGCAACCCGCCGGTGGTGCTGCTGGACGAGCCGTCCACCGGGATGGACCCCGAGGGGCAAGAAGCGGCCGGTGAAGGCCTTGTCGGAGGGAATAAAGAGAAAGGTAGGGCCGGGGCCCGGGCTTCCTCCGCGCCCCCCGCGGGTCGGTGCCAGACGCGCTGTTCCTCTGGTTGCAGCTGTGCTTCGCGCTGAGCATCCTGGGCAACCCGCCGGTGGTGCTGCTGGACGAGCCGTCCACCGGGATGGACCCCGAGGGGCAGCAGCGGATGTGGTGAGGACGTAGCACAAGCGACCCAAAGTGAATTCGTTAATCCTGTAACCACCAACCTTCAAAACTGTTTGTCTTATAAAGTGAGAGACATGGGCATTATCAGGAAAAGCGACGTCTAAGGGGGAAAATCTGATAGTGTATCACAGCCAATTTTTGTTGAGAAAAAGATTCTAACGATCTAATCCTCTAAGAAGTTCATTGTCACCGTAGCTCGTCTGAGTATTCATATGACCCGTTTTTATATGCAATCGTACCAACCTGTATTAAGTTTTGAAGCTTTCTGCAACCTCACCTGATATATAATTCTTGTGGAAGAAAAAACGCCAAATCCAAAATGTAGTCTTTAATTATTTTAGGAATATTCTGAAATCTGACATTGTGCATTTTAGGGTATATGTCATTATTATCTCGTTTTTTAAAAAGTTCTCATCTTCTATCTTTCTTCCTATTGCCGTCTCAGAAATGTTCTTGAAATTCAGCATTTTTCTAAACAACCTTTTACCCAATATCATTCTCTACGTTCAGCCCAAACCATGCTGTGAATTATAGACCCTAATCAATAGTTTGGTAACTTCCATGCCCATTGTCCCTCCGAAATCTTTTCTTTGTGTAATCTGAATATACTAATAGTTTCATATGTGCCAATCGAAACTAGTTTAAAAAACTTTTTTTTCACGCTGCCCGGAGCATTCCCACCAGCGAACATCTCCCTTGACCTGACTTTAGGCAAGCGATCCGGGCCACCTTTAGAAACACGGAGAGGGGCGCCCTCCTGACCACCCATTACATGGCCGAGGCCGAGGCCGTGTGTGACCGCGTGGCCATCATGGTGTCCGGGAGGCTGAGGTGGGTGCCCGCACTTGGCCCCCAGGTATGGCCTGTTCAAACCACATTTCCCTGCACATGGTTATCACTGGGGGGAGCTGGCTGCTCGAGCTCTACCTGGTCCCACCCGAAAAATCACCAGAAGTAAGTAGCATTCTCTCTCCCTTTTCCCGATTGACCTCATCCTCTCCCTCCAGATGTATCGGTTCTATCCAACACCTGAAAAGCAAATTTGGCAAGGATTACCTGCTGGAGATGAAAGTGAAGACCCTTAGCCAGGTGGAGCCCCTCCACAGTGAAATTCTCAGGCTTTTCCCCCAGGCTGCTCGGCAGGAAAGGTAAACAGAGGTGGAGTTCTGTTTCATCTCGGTCTTTCTTTTGTGTTTCTGTTATGGCCAATGAAAAGTAAAAGCTTTATCTTCTCTCTCTTTTTTTAACTTTATGGCAATTGTGAATGCTTTAATTACTAGAGAAAGGCCCAAATCCAAGGGATGCTGATTTGGAAGCTGATTCTTGTAAGGGAATTAGCATTTGGGCCTCTGTGATGTGCCAGGTACATACCAACATGGGCACGTACCTAGTCCCTCTCAGTGGTCCTCTCTGAAGGGTAAAATCCTTAGTAAACGCGATCACCTGTATAAAGCTTATGCTCAGTACCAGGCATCAGTCAAAGCTCAGCGAATGATGTCTCTCAACATTTCTGTTATTATCAGTGACAGCACTTGAGGCTCAGGCTGGTTAGATGATGCCGAATAACTAGTGGTAGAGCCAGGAGGTAAACCTAGTTCTTTTTAGTTAAAGGCTATTCTTGTCTTAATGAGAAAGCAGGATAAGAAATCCCTCTTCTTCTCTTCATGAGACCCAGACGCTGCAGGTTTCCTTCCTTTAGCCCCCGTTCCTCCCTAAAGTAAGATGGAGCCTTCTCTTAAGCCTTCTAATGTTTCTGCTGTAGTAAATTGACTTCTCGTTGATTGAAGAGCATTCACACTGCGGCCTTCTGTGCAGATGTGTACACGTAAACAGTTGTCGTCGACTTCGTCACTCCATTTTAGGCGTGTACCCCTCAGTGGTTGTGCCTTTGACACCTGGAGCTCAGCCTCACTCTTTGCTTCGCAGGTACTCTTCCCTGATGGTCTATAAGTTGCCCGTGGAGGATGTGCGACCTTTATCGCAGGCTTTCTTCAAATTAGAGATAGGTAAGAGCGACATGCAGATCTTGCATAAAACCACTATAGCAAGCACATGAACATAAAATTGTGGCATTATACCACAAATAAATTATTAAGACTAATTATGAATCCATTGTTTCTCAACCAGGGGTGATTTGGCAATATCCGGATATATTTTTGGTTACCATGACTAGGGGTGGAATTGGGGGTACAATTGATATCTAATAGATCGAGGCCAGGGATGATGCTGAACATCCTACAACGCACAGGTCAGCTCCCTCCCGCCACAAAAAATGATTGGAACAAAATGTCATTAGTGCCAAGGCTGAGAAAACTGGCCCCGATTGAATGAGGCTCTGGAGGGAAGAGACCATTGGCATCTGGGCCTAGATTTGGTCTTGCACCTGCGTACTCTCTGATAGCACTAGACGCTGATCAGGAAGTTCCTAGGCTCTTCGATTCTGATCTAAGATTTTTGTTTTTGCATACTGCATGGATCTATCGTGGACTAAGCTGCTGCCTATCACATCAGTGCATGAAATCTGATAAAAAGCTGAACACTTTCCCCCTCCTTTTGATCTGTACTTTTTGCCTGTCATCTGTCATTAGAAGCCCCAGGTATCCTACTTCTTAAAGAGGTTCTTCCCCTTGAGACGAGCTTAAGGTTGCCCCAGATAGGTTTTCTTTTCACTTTCTGGTTCTGTCGGTCACCTTCACTCTATGGTCTGCAGGTCTATTTTTCACACTAACCGTTTTGGCCTTCTGTTCAGTTTTATGCCATTCCAGGGGAAAGGATTCCCACAAGAGGAAGGGTTTTATAACTAATTAGAAGCAGAGAGGGAGATGCTTCAGAAAGGCTGCCTCCCTACAATACAATGAAGCCTCTTCTTAAGAGCCTTCCAGTGTTTCTGCTTTCAAAACCGCCCCCTCCTTCCTTAAATTCCTTCTAGTATCTTTAATTTGCTGAAACCGGAGTTCTCATGTAGGAGGAAAAAATAACTTTTTATCCATTTCTTAACCCATTATGTGAAGATTACGCAAAGTGAAAAATATTGAAATATAAGCTAGCTTTTTGTTTTTCCACATGTAAAGTTAGGCACAGTGATATCCTCAGTTGCAATGCATTTATCGAAATCATGAGCTAGGTCAAGTCGCGTGGAAGCAAAATGCATGCCCCGTGACTATGCCTTCCTTGCCGGGTAGATCCACTCTCCCACACCGCCAGAGGGCTTCTGGGTAATGCAAACGCCAGCAACTGGAGCCTCTCGTACCCCCTCCTTGCCCCAGTTTTGAAGACTTGAAGCTAGGAAGGTGGAACGGTCAGTTTTATCTCTCTTCTTACCCTGTTCCCTCCTCTACTCATAAGATGATGTTTTAGGCCCCTCAAGGCTGGAGTGTAAGGGGTGGGGAAGGGAATAATATGGCAGCCAGGCTTGATTTGATCGTTAGAGCTATGGCATCATGGCTTCTGTGTCGAGATGAACAATCACTGGACTTTTCTCCCATGGGGTGCGTTTGTGGGTTTTTTGAAGACTCCCTCTCCCTTCCTATCTGTAGCCTCTGACCACAGCTTGCTTGGGTGGGTGATGCCTTGTCCTCTTGGTCTCTAGCGAACACCTTCCTGCCTCTCAGCCCCTTCTTGGAATTCCTTTACCCTTCCAGAAGATCCTCTATGGGTACCTTCCACTTTGCAGTCTATGAGAAACAGGTAGATTCTTCTCTAAACGTTGAAAGTGCAGGACTGTCGGCCATCCACAGTGTTTTTTCTTGACATATTTCCAAACGTGAGTCAAGGACCCATCCCCATGTCCCCAAATTGCAGGCCAGCCCCACCACAGCATCAAATAACCTGGCTTTCCAGTCTTACCTCTCCACTCATGATTTCCTCCTCTTACGTGTCTGCATATTTGGGATCTCAGTCACAGTCCGGATTGGTAACAGATTGTAAACTCAAAAATGGGATAATTCAAGGAAGGTTTGTTTACAAAGCAACTGTTTGTAAAGGTGCAAGGAACATTGCAGTTCCCCGAGGCTAAACCAGCAGAAGCATTATCATTCTTACGTCCAAAGGAACTAAGAGAGAAAACAGTGACTGGAACGTGGGCGTGTGGTCACGTAGAATTTGCCACCTTGAGAGAAACAGTGACTTTCAATCAAGGGACACAGCTGGTGTTACAGAGGGTGTGAAGGAATAAAGGCCGTGGCCTCCCCTTTCTTCTGTCCCTCCACCTGGGCTGCCACTGGTGGAACCCACAGAAGGAGCCTCTTAAATCAGTCTCTGGAGCAGAGAGCAGGGTAGGGACGAGTGGGGACAGATGTAGTGGGGCACGTGGTAGTGTTCCAGTGCAGATGGAGCCGTCCCTTAGCTTATCCTACACAAATGCTCTGGAACCGTTGTTTTTTTCTGGTCTTGTGATACCTCTGCCCAAACTCTAATGGGAAAATATTTCTATCGTGTTACGGGACTAGATAGTGAATTTGCATTCTCATATTTACTCCAAGAATATTTATTATCTTATCTTTTATATTTAAGATCTAGTTGCATGTACTTTTTATACATGACTGGTGAAACTCTCTGAATAAAAAACATATGAATTCCTAATACACGTTCATCCTTGTGCAGTTAAACAGAACTTTGACCTGGAGGAGTACAGCCTCTCACAGTCAACCCTGGAGCAGGTGGGTCAGTGTAGAGATTTGTATGTCATCCATGGAATATAAATGTGTAATAAATGCATAGTCTTTGCACTCACTTGGAACTACAGGAAGTGGTGTGACGCCCCTCTCTCTTAAATTTTTTCTCCGTTATAGGTTTTCCTGGAGCTCTCCAAGGAGCAGGAGCTGGAAGATTTTGATGATGAACTTCACCACTCAGTGAAGTGGAAGCTGCTCCCACAGGAAGAGCCTTGAAGCCCCTAATAGCCTGTGTTCCTCTTTAAGCTTGTGACTCTTTTTAAGATAATATTTTATAGCATGGATATACCTTATCTCAGATATGTACAAGGTACTTTTGAAACTCATATCATCATTTTTCTCAATAATATTACTTATAGTGAGACTAAGGAATAAAGTCAGGGAGAACAATGAGGAAGCCAAACTGTGAGCTCATTAACCAGCAACCAAACCCAATGTTTCATATAGTAGTAAACAATAAAAAAAAATTTATTATAGGATTTATTATAGGATTGTTTATGTTTTTGAGGATGATACAGAGTTTGCTTAATTTTCTTTCTCTGAATTTCAAAATATTGGATAATTTCTTTGTGATAGAAATACAAATTAAGACAATGCTGATTTGGAGGAGAAGAGAGTTCATTGATTACACAGCGGCATAGTATTTGCTTTTTGTAATTCACTTTTTCTTTTTACTTTTTCTTAATTTACTGATTTTCCTTTTCTGTCATTTTTCAGATTTTAGATTGTAGAGTCCATGTTTTGACTGTTGTGATCGTAAAGAAAGTTTGAAACCTCTTAAAATAAACAATTGCAGTAAGAATTTGAATAATCAAGTTGAAAAAATATATATCTTGCTTACGATTTTGAAACATATTTCTGGTTTTATGTTTTCTTACGATGTAAGGATCTACCTTTAGGTAAAGCACTAAAATGTCATCTTAATTTCTCATGTTATGATTTATCTAACTGATGACACTGTAAGCACTTTAAAATCAACACAATCTACTTGTACACTCATATTTAGTTGAGTTTCGGTTATCTACTTTCATTGTTGCATAAGGCACTAAGTTTATGGTAATTTGGTATGCAGCAATAAAAATCTAATATAGGCATATGAATAAAGTGGTGTTTAGAAAAGATGTCTTTTCCAAAGTTACAGGTCACAGGAACCCAGAATTCAAACCTAGAAGTCTGTCTGATTTAAGCTATCTTTAAGCTATCAACTACTTTAAGCTATCATCAAGCAGTATTGAACGCAGGATTGAGGTTGCAATGAAGATATAAAGAATGTTTCTTCAAGTTTCTGTTACCTTTTGGGAAGTGAAACTAAAGAACACAATAGACACTATATAATCAACTTCTAATTGTTATGGTGTCAACTATAATGACTCAAGGATTTGAAGCTAAACACTGTTTTTGCAGCCTAAACATAGCCAGTTATTATGGTAAGTAGCCTTAAACATAGCCTAATTATTGTAGTAAGTTCAAATGACCAAGTTGTAAATTTTTTAATATAAATATCTCCCATATAATTTTGAAAAGTGTTCCAAATCTTATGTTTTGTTATAGCTCAGGGTTGTTACATTTTATATGCAATTGATGTCAGAAACACAGCAACTTGAAGTCATCACAATATAATTATTTTTTTCTTTAAAATTTTTTTAAATTAAAATATAGCTAACATACAATATTATATTAGTTTCAGGTGTACACCATAGATATTCAACATTTATATACCTAAAAAAGTAAGCACCATGATAACTCTAGTAACCATCTGTCATCGTACAGCGCTATTACAATATTATTGCTATCTTTCCTATGCTGTATATCACATCCTCATGACAATTTATAACTGAAAATTTGAACCTCTTATTCCCCTTTTTCTTTTTTAATTTTTCAATTACAGTTGACATTCAGTATTATTTTATATTAGTTTCAGGTGCACAGCATAGTGGTTAGACACATATTTAAGAAATGATCCCTGCATTACTCTAGTACCCACCTAACTTCATACATATAGTTATTACAATATTATTGTCTGTATGTCCTATGCTATACTTTATATCCTTGTAACTATTTTGTAACTGCCAATTTATACTTATTAATCCCTTTACCTTCTTCATCTGGCCCTCCAATGCCCCACCCATCTGGCAACCATCAGTTTGTTTTTTGTATCTTTTTGTCTTTCTATTTTTTTCATGCATTTATTTTATTCTTTAGATTCCACATATAAGTGAGATCATACGGTATTTATCTTTCTCTGATGACTTATTTCACTTAGCATAATACCCTCTAGGTCCATCGATGTTGTCACAAATGGTAATTTTTTATTCTTTTTTATGGCTAAGTAATATTCCATTGTATATATGTACCACTTTTTCTTTATCCACTTGTCTATTGATGGCACTTAGGTTGCTTCCATAGCTCGGCTATTGTAAATAGTGCTGCAATGAATATAAGGGTGCATATATCTTTCTGACTTAGTGTTTTGGATTTCTTCAGATAAGTAACCAGAAGTGGAATTGCTAGATCATAAGGTAGTTCTGGTTTTAATTTTTTGAGAAAACTCCATATTGTTTTTTATAGTGGCTGCATCAATTTGCAAATCCATTAACAGTACACAAGGGTTCCCTTTTCCCCGCATCACCAACACTTGTTGTTTGTTGATTTACTGATGATAGCCATTCTGACAGGTGTGAGGTGATATGTCATTGTGGTTTAAATTTGCATTTCTCCGATGATTAGTGATGTTGAACATCTTTTTATATGTCTATTGGCCATCTGTATGTCTTTGGAGAAATGTCCATTCAGGTCCTCTGCCCATTTTTTAATTGGATTGTTAATTTTTTTGGTGTTAAGTTGCGTGAGTTCTTTATAAATTTGGAGTATTAACCCCTTATCAGATGTATCATTGGTGAGTATTTTCTCCCATTCATTAGGTTGTCTTTTCATTTTGTTGATGGTTTCCTTTGCTATGAAAACCCTTTTTAATTTGATGTTTGTGTTTCCCTTGCCCGAAGAGATATATCAGAAAAGAAAATATTACTAAGAGCAATGTTGGAGAGTTTATTGCCTATGTTGTCTTCTAGGAGTTTCATGGGTTGTGGTCATACATTTAAATCTTTAATCTACTTTGAGTTTCTTCTTGTATATGGTATAAGAAGGTGGTCTAGTTTCATTTTTTTGCATATATCTGTCCAGTTTTCCCAACACCACTTATTGAAGAGACTGTCTTTACTCTATTGTATATTCTTGCCTTTTTTGTTCTAGATCAATTGACCATATGGATGCGGGTTTATTTCTGGCTCTCTGTTCTTTTCCATTGATGTACATGTCTGTTTTTATGCCAGTACCCTGCTATTTTGATTACTATAGCTTTGTAATATAGTTTGATATCAGGTAGCGTGATACCTCCGACTTTGTTTCTCTTTCTTAAGACTGCTGTGGCTATTCAGAGTCTTTTATGGTTCCATATAAATTTAGGATTATTTTTTCCAGTTCTATGAATAATGCCATTGGTATTTTGATAGGGATTGCATTGAATCTATAGATTGCTTTGAGTAGTATGGACATTTTAACATTGTTAATTCTTCATATCCATGATCATGGTATGTGTTTCCATTTATTTGTATCTTCTTCAATTTCTTTCTTCAATGTCTTATAATTTTTGAACACAAGTCTTTTACCTCTTTGGGCTAATTTATTCCTAGGGTTTTTTATGCAATTGTAAATGAGATTGTTTTCTTAATTTCCCTTTCTGATAATTCATTATTAGTGTATAAAAATGCAACTAATTTCAGAGTATTAATTTTGTATCCTGCTACTTAACTGAACTCATCGATCAGTTTTAACAGGATTTTGGTGGAATCTTTAGGGTTCTCTATATATAGTATCAAAGGGATATCAGAAAGAGAAGAGAGAGAACAAGGAATTCAGAACCTATTAGAAGAAATAATGACTGAAAACGTCCCTAATCTGGCAAAGGAAATAGACATACAAGTCCAAGAAGCGCAGAGAGTCCCAAAGAAGATTTTGGTACACTTGATGTTGTCCCAGAGGTCCCTTAAATTATCCTTTTTTTTTTTTTTTTCACTGTTCTATTGGGTGTTTTCTGCTACCTTGTCTTCCAAGTCACTGAATCGACCCTCTGCTTTATCTAATGTGCTCTTGATTCTTTCTAGTGTATTCTTCATTTCAGTCATTCTTCATTTTTTGGCTGGTTCTTTTTTTATGGTTTCTATGTCCTTTCTTATGCTTATTATCTCTTTGTTGAAGTTCTCACTAAGATTCTTAAGCATCCTTATAACCAGTGTTTTGAACTCTGCATCTATAAATTGTTTGCCTCCATTCTGTTTAGTTCTTTACCTGTAATTTTCTCCTCTTCTTTCATTTGAGACATATTTCTTTGTTTTCTCATTTTGGCTGCTTTTCGGTGTTTGTTTTTATGTATTAGGTAGATCTACTACATCTCCCAGTCTTGGCAAGATGGCCTTATGTACTATGTGTCCTGTGGGACCCAGTGCTGTAGTCTCCCTCATCACCTAAGCCAGATGCTCCAAGTGTGTCCTTTGTGTGGGTTGTGAAATTCAAACTCTTAGTTCTCAAATCTCAGAAATGGCAAAGTTATATTTGTATCATTCGTGGTTACTTTCTAAGTTATAGGTCTGTAGGTCAGTGATTGAAACATGCTGAGTCTCTTTTCCACCTTAAAAGGGGAATATTAATACCTGACTTATTAACTCATTGACTTGATGTGAGAATCGGATAACAAAATACAGGTTTATAAATTTAAAAATTATTTTTCTATAATCATAAGGAGAGCCACATCAGTAGCAGTCAAAATGATGAGAGGAGTATTCTGGGAAAAGAGTTAAACCAGTCCTTATCCCGCTCCTACCAATATAAAAAAAAAAAGTTTCTTCATAATCCCTTCCACATCAAAGAAGTCACGTCTTCCTAGCATAACAACTCCAGACACTGAACTATTATTTCAAAGAGAAACATAAGTCAAGCTTACAGTCTATATTGCACATAGCAACAAAAATATAAAATCTTGATATTGAGAGATTTTTTTCTGATCAGTAAGAAAGTTAATTGCATTTCATTTTTCAGTAGTGTCACAGTGATGGATTATATTGTTTAAATGGTGCTGAAAACACTTTGGAGATAACATGAAATTGCGCTCTTTTATTGAATTATCTTGAAATCAGCTGGGGCATTGTTTCTTCCAACTGGCATGGCATCTTTACAAAGAATCTGTGGTAATGACAGCCCTACTTAATTTTGTATGTTGTTTAGGTAAATACCCGTTGATGCTCACCAATCCAATTTTCTCCTTCTGAACGGACTGGGAGACTTTTTTTTCTAAAGTCCCTTGGAGTTATTCTGAGACCATGTGACTAGCTCTGGGCTATAGAATACGGGCAGAAATAATGTATGCAACTCTTGGGCCATTACCTAAATCTCCCGCTAGATTTCAGTGTGACTTCTTTTTCTCATTTATGAGTCAGGAAATAAGGGACTCTGAAATGGCAGTCCCCACAATGGAAAGTACAAGTCCCTGAGTCACCATTTGGAGGTGAGCTGCCTAGAGGAGCCACCTGGCCTTCGCAGGGCTGAGACATAAAACACACACCCACACATACTCCAAAATAAAACCAGAAACTAAACTACTGCAAAATACTTTGTGGCCTTGAGCTACTGAGATTACTGGGATTATGGGGTGGTTACAACAGACAGTTAACATTACATTGACTAATGTAG